TCAGCTTTTCTATCTTTTCTCCTCCACTTCTTGCTTGGTTTATCAGCTCTTCCTGTTCAACTACTCACTTTCATCTGGTTAGCAAGAGCTGAGCTGTTGATGGTTCAAGAGGATTGACTGATGAGGGGAATGATACATGTGTAGTGTAAATTGTCTCTGTGCGCTTTTGTGCAGAAGGCGGATGGAACATGTAACACAAACTTCAAAACTACGAAGACACAGGAGCAAGTTCTACAGGTTTTTGTGGAATTCATTGAGGGCAACACAACTATTCTGGTGAGTCTCAACTCTTCAAGTTCACTGATCTTTGACCCAATGAACTTGCTTCAGGGCCATGATTCCTCTGGTACAAGAAAAATGAATAAGGAAGAAAATAGTTTCAACTTCCAGTCCCTCTCAGCAGATGGAATGGACATGGGGTCTTGGTGGGCTGTGAGAAGTAGTTGGCTGAGACCAGTTCTGTCAGCTCTTGCCATGAGTTCACCCCGAGTTCCTCAGGCTACCGAAACGTCAGTCAAGCTAACTTGTGGCTTGCCATCAGCTTCGACCATGGGTGGTGGATGTATCAGAGGGATGATAATGTCTAAGCAAGGATTGTGTTGGCAGGAAAACTTGTGATTTGGGAATTCAGTCTGGAGAGGATAAAATCGGAGCACGGGGGCAGGAAGTGAGACTGGTGGCTGGCTGTACTCCTATGTGTGAGACTCGCCGCAAAGAGCAGCGCCTGTGCGCTCCTTCACGGGTAGCACAGCAGGCATGTGGTAGATGGTATAACACGTCTCTTGTCTTTGGAACTTCAAAGGATGCTGTAGTGTTCTGCTGCAGCATAGGAGCCATTATGAAGGCAGATTAGCCCTCCAGGAGGAGCACGCTTGGTTACACAGGGCAGCATTAAAAATGTATACTAGAGCTTTATGTATTTAACCTTGATTTCTTTTATTCTCCCCCAATGGTTGGAGCTCCTTGTCTCTCTAACACAATTTCATTCTCTTTTCACTGTGGAGAACTGAAAGATTTTTTAATTGCTTGAAACTTTTCTCTTTATTGAGGGGAAAAAAAAAAAAAGGATGCAGAAAGTCTCACTGCATCCAAAGCAAGACAGATTAAGTATGCTTGGTGTAACACCCCAGTCTGTTCATTTACTGTGAAAGACTGTTGAAGTATATTTCAAAATAACAGGTTCATCATTTGAAAGTCAATCCCAAGGACCTCTAGCCTAAAGTTGACACGATCTCTCCATTATATTGGCTCTGGTAGACAGAGTATCTTCATTCATTCTTTACTTAAATGTTATGGTTTGTGTTTTTTCTCCTCTTCCTTCAGAAAAAATACCTCGAGCGTCTGCAGGAAATTCATATCATTCTTGAATCCTCAGACTTCTTCAAGCGACATGAGGTGAGCAGTGAGTGTAACACTGTGGAGGTGCATTGCTGCTTTGTTCGGGTTATTCAGATGCACTTCAGAATAGCCGTATTAGTAGAAAGGAGCTTGTAGTAGAAGAAAGCTAATATATGCTAACCACACAGATACCACAAAGCCTCCGCCACATCGATACAGAAGATTAAAACAATTGAGGAATAATAAATCCTCCCATCTTTATAACATCTCAGCATTTGTACCTCTGGGCTACTGTAAGGAATGGATTATTAGCAGCAGTTGCCCATGGTTTCTCTAATCTTGATGTGTTCCAGTGGGGATCTCTATAAGGGAACAGTAATGTGTAAGCTTGCATTTGGTGCAGTAGTGTTCAGTTGTAGTTTGACAATGAAGGCTTTATTAGTTATACTGGATTTACATTGAAACACTGTATAATTCTGCTTTATGTTCTACTTGTATGCTTTGCTGTGGAGAAGGCATCATTAGCATTTAAGTTCTGCTTGTTACAGCTCAAGATTCTGGGATCAGACATTTTATTTTACCTTGTTAATTACCTCTTGTCACTGGAGGCCTTTTTGTTAATCATGGGTCTTTGAAAGTAGTCACTGGCTGTTGCTGAATTGCTCAAGTTGAGACCTGCTGCAAGTGAGCTGGAGAACTTTGTCTACTGAGTCCCTTTTGCCATCTACATCCCCTTTTGTACATTACTGATGTTATGCAAATGGAGCACGTAAATTGTCCATGTATAAGTGCAGCCCAAAAGTCTGTTGGGTCACAGGTGAGGTCATCTGAAGAGGACATCTTCTTAGTGGGAAGTGTTAAGTGATGGGGGAGAGCTAAAGATGTGTTTTTATCCACTTGTCTCAATCTGTCTTCCAGGTCGTTGGAAGTTCACTACTTTTTGTACATGATGGCAGTGGGAATGCCAATGTGTGGCTGATTGATTTTGGAAAGACCACCCTTCTCCCTGATGGACAGACATTGGATCACAGGATGCCCTGGCAAGAAGGCAACAGGGAGGATGGGTACTTGTTGGGGTTGGACAATTTGATTGGCATCTTGGAAAGCATCACTGAAAGATGAGTTGAGAATGGCACAAAACTTGCAGGGCTTCTCTGTAACTTTCTGCTCTACTGGGATTGCTCGGTCAGAAGGAAACCTTTAACTCCCTCCAAACTCCTGAGGTCATCTGTGCAGAGGGAGCTGCATCCAGAACCCAGCAGTTAGTGATCAAAATGACTTTGCATCGGCCCTCTATGAACCTAAATAACTCCAGATTGGTCTGTATTGCACCAGTCTAACTTCAGACTGGTCCTCAGAGAACGAAGATCTCCATACTCAGGAATCACACCAGCGTGAGTCAAGAGGTTTGTATGGTAAAGCAGAATGGTTCTGATTTCTGGCAAACAAGTGGGACTCCAGATCACCTCTTAATGAACCAGAGCAAGTGCTTGGGGATTCAGGGTAGGAATTTTTCAGGGAACTACTTAGTTTTGAAACCAGCAAGAATGGTTTCCCCGCTCCCCCCGCCCCAGTTCCAAGTCTGCTTGCTCTTGTGTACACTGTAGGTTGGACGAAGAACTTCTGCTTCATTGTGTTAAAGGGTGCACAAGGTGGAAATGGGTGATAATCACAAGAAACGTGAGCAAAGGGAGACAGCAGTTTGTAGTGGCTGGATGTGGTAACTGCTATTGACTATTCCTCCCCTTCCCTAGCCTCAATTCACTTCTATCCGAGAGCAGCCTTTGCTTTTTATGTAGCCGCTCAGGAGATTACAAATACTCTAGGGAGAGAATAGCAGCCCATTGTCTCCAAAAGCATTTGATTTTCAGACTGGGTGGGCTGTTGGAAAAGTGCCTAGCTCGGCAAGTTTGGCCTTTTGCAGCCGAACTGGAGTTCTGAAAATCAGTAATGACTCTTCCACACACAGACCAGGGAACTAAGGGTTTTTTCCAAGGCTGGTTTATTTTTAAAGATAAAACCCCTATACACATGCATATGCATGCACGCACTAGTAGCTAGCAACCAATGTGATCTCTCAAGATCACGGTTTGAGTGTCTCCTAATGCCCGCGATGACTTGGCGATGTTCCTGTTCCCAGATACGGCGCTGCCACTTCAGTGTATAGACTGGTGCCGCGATCGGGAAGGTGATGTTTCTGCATTCACAGCATTACACTAATGATGAGATAATTCCCAGGCATCCTTCCTCCAAGGTATCAGCTGTTAACTCAGGGCAGTTTGGGAGAAGGAATGTCAATATATCACATCCCCTAGTCCCTGTCTAGAATCGTGGGGCCACCTGTGCTTCACAATACTATCAGTATTCACATGTTCACTCACATTCCAGGTTTTAACGTTAATAATCTGATGCTGCAGTTTTCAAAATGAGGACAAGACTTACATTACTATTTGATTGTTAATCCCCTTTCAACATCTAACCCAAATAATGCACATTGGGCAGAAATTGCTGCCTTTTGCTGGTGTCCTGTGCTTAGGAGAGATTCTGAGAACTTTAGGATATACGAAGGTGACTCCATGCTTTGGGAAACTGGTATTTCAATAATAATTATGATCATGAGCAAAAAGAGGCTGTGGAGTCCAGATCTGGAATGAAATCTATCTATTACATTTGTAATTAGAATTGAAGAGCCTAAAATAATTTGTAAAAGGAGTTACTTTAGATCACACACTACTATACTGAGAGATCAGTCAGATTTAATGACTTTTCCATCACCTCTAACCAAAATAGCAGTATTAAAAATTCCAGATTAGTTGTGACCTAAAAGTTAGATGCATAGAGTAGGTATTCTGTAGGAAGTAAAGACACGTGGAAATATTTCATCCAAAACCAAGTTGTTTGAAACTGGTAATTATTTTTGCAGTTCACTGCAAATTCACACTTCTTCTGTGGCCTGTCGGAGTCCCTCTCAGTTTTATTTTCATGATAGTATGTTAATGAAATTTCCACTTAGATGTTTTAGAGGGTTTATACTTCTTTAAAGTGACAGCAAGCCTTTAATAGAGAGCACAGATATTCTCATTCCAGATGCCTCCTAACTTTTGAACTGCTATGACATGACGAATTAATTTGTGGTGAATTTCATACAACTTAAAAAAAAAAAGTCTTCCTCCTTTCCTGCAGCCAACAGGTAAGCCATTGGTTAGCAGCGGTTAAGGAGAATAGGAAGTAAATAGGTTACACAGGAGGACTTTAATATACCTTTTCTATGAGACTGCAACTGCAAGCAGTCCTTCCGTAATAAAAAGCATAAATTAGAAAAGTTAGAAATGAGACTGTTACGGTGCTAGAATTCGTTAGTCGTTTGCCTAATTAGTCTTCAGAGTTAAATTTCTTTCTTCTGTTACCACATATGTGAATCTTTTGCACCAGTGTAACGTACTACCTAGAGGGGAGAGTTAGAGGGTAAAAGTTGATGCTCAAATGTCAGTTGAGAATTTGAGACAAACTTTTAGAATGACTGTCTAGTTCTAAAGGAGAACTAGAAGCAATGTGGTACCAGCAGTCTCAAAAAAAAACAACTGCTTGGATGGTGTGCAGTATGTGGTCTTGGGGGGGAACATGGAGAGTGATCCATTCCTCTGCAGCAGTTGAAAAGGTCAGGGGAAAAAAAGGAAACCTCTGCTATAGCAGACCCTGGTCTTGGAAGTTCATTCTAGATGATAAATAGTTCTAGCAAGTTAGTTTTGAAATGGCCCTTTGGCTTGCCAAGGGATTAGAAGGGAAAAGCCACAATTGTCTGCTGCTGTTATGGGAACGGAGAAAAGGAGGCAGCTTTTCACGAGCAAAGTACAGGTGTAGGACTGCAACTGAGCACTGGAGCTCTAAAGGGCTGGAGGCTGTGAGCTCATGAGCAAACTACCACAGGGTAAGTTAGATACCTTGATTCACAGAGGGTGGCCCGGAGTGCCTGTCTGCGTGCGCTCACTTGGTAGCGTGAGGAAGCAGCATAGTCTTCTTTCGCTGTGGAGTAAGTTGCCTTGAATAAGCTTACATTTACCAGAGGGTCAACACGATGCCTTTGTACAGGCACATAACATCAAGGAGCTGATGCATGATCACCAAGGTGCTTGTTCACATACAAGTCCAGAATGTAGTTCTTTAATGCCTCTGCTGAGATCATTGCCTCACTCTGGAGACACCGAGAGCACATGCGTTTCCACAGCAGGGTAAGATACTCTGTCCCAGCAGCGCTTTGGTGCTGAACAGCTAACCTCTCACTTAAGTACCAAGTCTTTAACTCACTAGTTAGATGCAGCAGTGCTTACTGCTGTAGCATTCCTATAGCAGTAGGACTTCTGTCCTTCAACTCTGTAAGTGACTTGTTTTTTTGGCCTTGGACAACTATCCCAGGCCTCAGTTTTGTTCCCATTTTACAGATGGGAATAGTACCTACTTACTTCACAGGAATTGTGTGAGGCTGTCCTTCGTTATTGCTTGCAAGATGCTGTGAGATTCTTTGGAGGAAGGTGCAATGTAGAAAGAAATGCACAAGGAGATATATCAGCTAAGTTTAAAAATGATGGGTATTGGGGCCCACAAGGATATACATTTGGATGAAATTTAACCAAAGTGGTAAAAATGAAATTGCTCTTAATTTTACGCAGCGGGAGAATTCACTTAACATCTGATCCAGTTCCTATTATAGAGAAAGATTTCAATGGGAGTTGGATGAAACCCTTCAGTATCTCAGAGGGCTCTTGCTATTTTTTTTTTTTAATTGCTGTTGTTATAATTTGTTATTCTTAAGGTACTGAGATCAAATGGCCTGTATCATCCACATGCATCCGTTCTGAACACTACAATGCAATGCTGACCATGGTCACTTTTGACATTGACTGTATTGTTTGAGTGTTTGTTACTCTGAAGTGTGTATGCTACTAAATAAATGAGACTGAAGGAAAAAAAGATGTGCACTGTGATTTGGTCAGAGGACAGTAATATCTTCAAGAATTTCCTTAGGGAAGGGACAAAACCTTTTTATTTCAGTGTTTCTTGTGCTTTTAGTCTTTAGCATCTAGTATTTCCTAAAACAAAACCAGTTCTAAGACACCTAGAAGCTAATGCTGGTGCTTGGTTCTAAAACCCATAGGTACGTTTGCTTTAGAACCTGATCCACGCAAGTCTTGACAGCTTCCTTCGAGGTAAGCTCTGTCTCAGAAATCTGAGCTCATAGCCTACAGTGTATCAAAAAATTGTGCATCAAAAGGCACTTGGCAGACTCTGAGCAGTTAACCATTCCATGAGGTAGTTTTGTATGGCAGCAGGGAAGAAGCAGTCAGACCTCCGGGACTAAGTGTCCTCTTACCTGTGTGCAGAGAGTACTGAGCAGAGAGGGAAACAAATAGCCACCGCTAGTGTCTCTTTATTTTGTGTTGCAAATATAGAAGTCTACACTTTTCCAGCTTTAAATTGCATAGAAGCAGGCATGTCATCTACTTATGTACAGTAGTCACTCAGAAAGGTAAGTTGGCAAGAAGTGCTGCCATGGTCAGAGGCAATGACAAATCAACCAATTCAACTAAATGAAAAAGTCATGTGACGAGATAGGAGGGTGCCAGTGATGTCATGCCTAGGGTCTCTGCATCAGACTGAAAAGGGCAGGTGGCCAGGAGGAGGGAGAGAATGGCCATGTCTACAGGAGAAAGTGTTTCACAGAGCTCTGCTGCTCGAGGGCCTGAGGAAGCGTGGTCCCTGGCTGACACAGCTGTGGAGATGCAAAGACATTGGGGAAAACCGTACTCCCAGCAGTAGCGTTTTCTTCTCTTTCAGGTAAGTAGGGGGGAGGGTATTGGAGGTGGAATAAATTACACTTGCAAAATCCCATAACTATTTCATTAGACTTGTGAAGCTTTCTTAGTGCGCACCTGCCCATTGGCAAATCAGTGGAAAAGTTACCTCAGGAAAAGGGTTGATATGAAGGGGGACACCTTAAATCTGTGCAGTTAAAAAAAAACACTTGAGAAAAGATAACAAGTCAGAAGCAAGAATATCAACAAGTCTGAAAAGAAAGCAGAGAAAGTAAAATTGAAATTTGCATTATTATTTCATCTTTTGTTATTCAATCTCCTCTTTAAAATGTAGGTCTGCAGTTGTATGAAAGCAATACAAACTACTAACGCTAAGCCCAGAAGAAAAATCTGAGTATATACACACAAATCTAAAACTAAGTTGGTAACATGTTGAAAGACAGACCCATCAGGAAAAGCAATTTATAATAATCCTCTAAATGGCTGATTCTTCAGTGGGGAAGTATTGGAAGACCCTTTACATGGATTACAGGACTGAATTAAACCCAGATCTCCAGCTCATGTTATTCCTCTAGGAAACAAAATCAGGTTTTGGCTTTCAGTTGGCAAAGTAAAGTAATCTAATTTTGACACTATAGGTTCAACTCATTGATTATCCACTAAAAGTGTCTCCTTAAAAAACAGTTTGAAGCAAGTTATATTTTGAAATGGTAGCAACTGAGCACTATGAAATCTGTGATTGCCTGAACAGTAAGTTTCTGTCTCAGAATTGTAGGTTGTAGTATGTGTCATTGCAATTGTTATTTTTCTTTTTAGATAATATGGTTTGGACAGCATGTAGCATTTCAGCATCACAACAGGAGCAATATTAGCATTATTTCCTCCAGGATATTCATTAAAAATCCATTATCTGTGAGGGTTATTTTAAAAAGCATCTAAGAAATCAGTTATGCACAGAAAAACTTACAAGTCAAAGATTCATGGCAACAGTGCTGACAAGATCATTTACCTTTAGTTCCATTTGAAGGTGTTAAAAGCTTATTATAAAATTTAGGTTGCTAATGCAGATTCTTTTAAAATTACCAGCTTGCTCTTTTAGCACCCATTTGGTATGTGCAGCTCCACGGTCTCTCTTGTTACAAGACACTGCGTCTGGCTCAGTACATCCCTGAGCTACATGCTGTTGTAAACCAGCAAAGTATGTCCAGGAAAT